ATATATAATCTATTTACCGACACCATCTGCACGCTGATACCATGACTTTATCGACGTATATATGTGTCCAACTTGTGAGAAGTCCGTCTGGGCTGCATAATTGTATTAAACCATACAACCGATTCCTACCAGTTGTAATTATGCTGGTTCTGACGGGAACCAAACTAGTAACAGGGCCATCAATATCAGGTGCTTGCGTTATTTTTATTTATTTTTTTTCTTTAAGACATGTTTTTCTGGTCGTGCACGGAGGGAAAGGGGACATTCTATTTATCTGACATACACATGAAAGCGTTTATTCTCACGATCGACGTCGTTCGATGTCGAACATACCAAACAAATATATACACACGTAAATGTACGCACACACATGAATAGTTAGACTGTATTGATACGATTATATGGCGGTCGATGGCTATTCTTGCAAGAGCGCCGGCTCGTAAGACCGCGCAAAGAATGACCTAGCTTTTTTTTTTTCTATAGACGTCTTCTTGCATAGAAACCTTTTTGTTATACAGACCCTTATTAATGATATTGCAGAAATACTAAATCCGTAGTGGGCTCCGACCTATTTCGTTCCATGTGTACACCCAATGATGGCTTACTGATGGAACTCCCCAAGCGAGAAATCCCGTCCATTGTGCTCTTCATACATAACGGTACACCGTGCGTAGTCCATTGTATATAAATCTTTTTGTGTCGATTGTCGGCCAAATCGAATACCTTTCCTTTCTGTGAACGTACAAAATTGAACTAGACGCCGAGCGTATCAGCCGCTACGAACGCACGCGACCGCTGTTTTGGCAATATCTCTATGAACGCTGCCATTCCCGTAATTGAACAGCTGTGTGCCTGCTTCGCCTTTCGTCTGCCCGTATTTCCTCGTTTTCTTCTTTATGGACGTGGAACCCTCGGCTGTGCAATGGATACATCGTTTTGGCCGACGGCTTGTAACAACTCGAAGGCGCTTTCCGTTCGCATTCAGAAACTGCCCTATTCCAGTTGCATCTATCCCCCGCTTTGATTCGGTGGACGGTGACAATCATGAAACGGTCAAAGGGCCGCTGACCGGACGGAGAGCTTATTCGCGCACCCCAAACAACACGGGCAGCAGCGAACAGCACTAAAATCGGCAAAAATATTAAGCAGTGAAGCAGTAGCAATGCCGGCAAAAAGAGGAACAGGACGGTCACGTAACAAGCACACAGATCATAAATAATTATTAACAACAACAACGATAACCATGCTGACTTTATGGCGGTTCCGAGGGTCTTTAACGGAATTCCTCAGCATCTTCGTACGACACTGTTGCCTGAGTCTGAAACCATAATAGTACAATAGTGGTTGTGGAGGTAGGGAGCGAGCTACGGCCGCTGACCTGTTCTAACTGACGAAAGTCGCTCGAATCCTTTAGTTCTGATGACGATTTGCAAGCGCCCGCGAAGCAGCTAACAGAGGCGGTATGTTCCCTAGCATTTACGGCTAATCAGCTAACGGATCGGTAACGGTTCTCTAGGCGATTAATAGCCTAGTCACGGTCCCCGATTAGTTTCCCTTTTCGACGGGTTCATTGTTGTTATTCTTGATTATATTTTAATGTTTTTTTTTCCACAAATGTTTGCTTAACTCAAAGGGCTTCGAGCGATTGGGAAACTCTGTGCATTACCGATGCGCGACTTCTATGTATCAACGTGAGCTCTGTAAATGAATATATATGCGTGTATTAATGGAATACATAGAGGAGTCAAATGTACTTCGCATAAGCGCCGGGGGCCTCGTAGGACCGGTACTAACTAATCAGTTGATTGGATCATAGACTGTTCCTATGACCCGGGCATCTAACGCGCATCTTGTTGGGTGCGTTGCCATAGTAACCCAAATTGGCAACGCCGATCAAAGCTTAATAATTACAAGTATTACAGTAATTTTTTTTTTACAATAATTACAGTAAAGAATAAAGAAAGAATAAGGACAAAAGGAAAATAGGATATTACTATTAAAGTAATAGCTGTATGTATGGTTTCCGTACCGTTTTATAGATGTATTCGAAAAATCGTAAACAAGTCCAGCAGTACCGATTCCGACGAGACTGCTAATGGGCAAATCATTGATGCTACACCTAAAAATTAGGCTATTCCGTGGACTTGTTAACATAGGAATAATAACTAAAAATGCTAAATAAATCTAAAAAAAAACAATCATTATTGAAATCAATGATTAATCAATGATCAATGATCAATGAAAGTTCAGACCCACTCGTCTCATTTTTTCCAGTCCATTCCTTTCGTTGTTTTTTTGTACATATCTATTGCGAGGATTCCGACGCTATCAGTATGCGATGTTAGGTTTACTCGGCTAGGTGTGTTATTAATAAGTTCTGACTCTTTATTTATTTTCGTTCCTTTCATTATTCTTGATGACTATAGCAGATCTCAATTGCAGTACGAAGGCCGCCGATCGATGTCGAACAGAAGTTGTGCCATACGCAGATTATATAATTTCTGACTGGGGAGGAACGTCAGAAGAGCCGCGACACCATCAAGCATCTAAAGAAATACAGCGAATCCAACTGCCTTACAAGAAATGCTTGGCATTCCAAAAGGTAGCTCAATATGTTCTGTGCAAACAGGTACAACAAGCAGGTCAACAGGTGCATATGTTTGACCGCTAGTTACCTGGGGGCCGCCAAGGAATCGGGTCAGATTTGCCTTTCCCGGACCTCTAGCTGATTGGATTGTGTGCGAACCTCCCTCGGTCAGTCGGTGTCGCAGTGCTGCGAAGCCACGGAGTCGTAGTTCTAGTGTGTTCTGGAGCAATCTGTTGATAACCTCCTTTTTGCCTGGTTCTGCTAAATACAGGGGGTCTACTGGGGCTTAGGACTGGGTAGCCCAGATCCACCGCTCTGTTCAGACCTCTTATCCAGTTCACTGCTAGCCAATAATGGCAGTTGCATTCATAGAGCAGAAGCCGACTTACTCACAGTTCGTTAATATTTGGATAAATTACATAGTACGTTTCACATCTTGTTAGGGACAATACTTGTGTATGTTTTTCTTTTGGAGATGTCTGTAATTATTATGCGTGGGCGTTGAACAATATAAGGATAAGGATCGAAAGCTTGTACGACTCCGTATTCACGTTATTCATTAATGTCACGCTGCAGTAGTTGGCTCAAACGTTGCCAATGACATGTACGCCGCGACACTAACTAAATAAAAAGAAACATTATTTTAAACCTCGGTCAAACACATATTTTCTATTATATCGATTTTGGCTTAGATTGGCTGCTGAATCTTCACTAACTTCTGCATAGCTTATGAAGTAAATTTAACAATAGATAACGAAAAGTGAGTGGGTCATAATAATTTTGCGCATCTGAGTTGGGTCCTTTGGGAGCTTTTGACTCCGTTTGCTTGAATATACTGAACTGTGCGGCCATGTCGATTAATTCAATTTAGGCCTACGTTGTAGGTCCGCACTTGATTTTCTGTTTGCCCCAAAGCACTGATCAACACGCGACAAAAAAATGATCACTTACTTTGTGCATCTGAAAGTAGCTGAGCACATATAACAACGACACTTTGTTCTTTGTAGCACGCTTGAGAGTAATTCCGTTTATCGAATGTTGCCCTCGCAAGCAGAAGTTTTTGAGGGTTACGCTTCTCGAAGCACGGGCTGATAATTAATCTAATACATATTTTATGCCTATTTTTAAATTAAGTCAAAGCTAATGGGAACTGTTCTAGCAAACACTGAAATGCATATAGAACAGCATAGATACATATCGTTTTAGTCTGTATGCACTAAGCATCAGAGGCATCGACATTTCCAAAGACCCTACGGTTGAAGTCATTAAGGCATCGGTCCTGAGTCACCTTTCACTTTGAGTATTGCAGATTTTGTACTTAATTACAGAATACGAATGTGAGTCGATTCTCTAGCCAAACCTGAAACATATTTGCAACATTGCCATCGGCGCCTTTATGTGAAGCATGGTACTTCCAGCAAAACATCCGTCAAAATTATACCTCGCGGATCAACGCTACTCAAAGCAGTCGAAAACGCAGTGCTGATTCGCGCAACTTCAAGACGCCCTGTGCGGGACACACGTCATAGGAAAATTTAGAAAAATTATTGACTTATTCATAAATACCTTCAATAATGTGCGACTATAGAACCAACTAAGTTTATTTCCAAAAATCTTGTGATAAAATTTAGCTTAGACCTAATTTAATTTGTTGTTCTATAAATAGAGGCTTATTTCATCATCGTCATATACACGCTAGAGATGCAACAAGCTTGTACATTTTCATTTCCCTATAAGACCGCATACGTTTGGACAATATAACTATACCTATGAAGCCTTTACTTGATGTCCAAAAGGAGTTGGTAGTGCCCAGTTAAGAGGGATATTGTTATCGATATTTGGCCATTGGCCAGCATATTTGTTTGTCATGTAACGAATTTAAAAAATCAGTCGGATTTTTATATATGTTACCGTTATTATCTCATTTCTGTTTCTGGTTCAAAGAGCTACGCTTCCAAAACCGGCCAAATTACTTCCCAAAACAACCGCAACAAACGGCCATTTACCTGTGTGGTCCTGAATATAATCAAATGACAGAAGTATACGCCGAAAACCAATTAAAGGAAAAGAAAGAGAAAAACTTATTTTACCCGCAGGACGTCTCTATTGAATGGCCTGTTGCAAGATTGCGCCATAGACTTGATCATGCAACTGACTCCTTAAATTTTTCAGTTTCACTTTCGGTGCTACTGTCTGCGTTGAGCATAATTTCAGCGAGCTAGCACCTGCATTCGCAAGTTTAGGGGGCCCCGATGCCGCTGCAGTATCACAGGAAGTTTTGAACATCAGCCCCCAAGTGCTAACGTAATCTCAGTTTTGTACGACGCGCTCTTTATTTTCTGAAGCAGAGACAGGCTCATTCGTGCCAGGTATACCTCATTTGTTGTACGTTGTTCCTATTATAGGAGGATGACCGTAATGGTCTTCCGAAATGGGTGCCTGCTTAATTTGGGTTAGATGGGAATGAAGAAGCTGACGTCCTCGCTCGAACGTTTGTTTCTTTAACCATAAGCGACAATGACCTACCACCGTTTTCAGCATTAGCCGTCTCTGTGAGACCTGAATTGGGAGGCCATCTACTCTAATCCGTCCCTCGATGGGCCTCAGCATCTCCTTGGCCACTTGCGTTCAAGTGAATCACGGCTAAGAGCAACCCATCCTTCGGTGGAATTAGACCTACCGACATTTTTATAATAACCATGCCTGGCCAAAATGAGCGATCCTAAGGAAAATTTTAGTTTTTCGATATAACTGAATGTGCAGTTTCGACAGCGTAAAGTTCAACAACGACGCTATAATAATTAAATATGTGCAAAAGAAGAGATGAATGGATCAAGAGTGGTAGGTTTCGTATTAAGGGCCGCCTTTACCGGCGAACACTGAGTGTGTCATCTTTAACGTAACACCACTTATGACTTAACCTATGATAGGACAGTGGTCCCAAAGTCTGTATGTTTAGACCGCGCTAGACAATACTGTTACGTCTGCGCTGACAATTAGTTCTCCTTTTTCAAGCTTTTTTTCTGACATAAAAACAAACGAAAAGGAACACAAAGTGGCTGTTTTCGATAGACACAATGAAAATAACATTTTTGTAATATAGTTGTAATTCTATCTTTCAAATAAAGATACACATAATGCCCATATAATATACGACTAAGCAATAGAACAGTCTACGAAAACAATAGGGGCAGTTAATAAAAGTTTACTATATAGATACGAGTAACTTCCGGAAAGGAACTACTTTACTTAGAGAAATTCATTTCGTCCTTACCTCAGCGGGGCAGGTCCGCGTTCGTGATAGATAATAATGGAAACATGGAGAGAATGCTGAGAGGCCTAGATTCGGTTCGGATATGGGTTAGAGTCTCAATTATTTGTGTCAGTGTGTACACTTTCCGAGACCGCCTATGCCATAGTATACTACAGTCGACAGTTCAGAAGTCGGAAAAAAATTCTGAGTACCGGAAGGTGATAGCCGACTTCGTAGAACAGGATCCTTGTTTCTTTCCAACAAGACCTTCATGACGTTTAATGTGTGGCTATGATGTACTAATAAGATCAAAATGGCTCTGTAGATTTTTAGTGTTTAATCATCACTCACTATTTTTTCAAACAAATACAGGTTATACCCAGCGCCGTACCCTGCTGAGGGGACAGCGGTACGAAGTTTTGTCATAAGAGGGCTAGCTGAAAGTTTAAAGTTCAACGCGATACCCATCTATCCTCTAATTTCCCCACTTTTTTTTTGTTACGACAGTTCACTTTTCCTTGATTGCTGTGAACGTCACAGATTTATGGTTTCGTAGAATAATGATACTGCCATTCCATTCATTATCGCGTTTCCCATAGCCATTACTATATCCTATGGTTTCACAACGCACCAGACAAGAGGCGCATCTCCTCTAAATATATAGGCCACGAATACCAGCTTCATCTCCATTTGTCACTTTTAAAAAATTGAGAAGATTTACTCTGGCTCAGAAATCATCCGTTGGATGTTCGCAGATGACCGCAGTAACAACAATAACAACAGGCGATAATAATCAGGAGCAGAAGATAACAGACACAGACAACAATATACATGTGGCTAATTACAAAACAAAATCAAACAAAGCACACCCATAAGTAGGCTGCATGTTACACGGCGCGTTAATCCGCAAAATACGATATGAGAAGTCGACGAATGCCACAAAAGTTTTCGTAAGTGCTAGTCACCGAGGGTAGAACCATTGTAGCTACAGTAGAACAGGCGCAACGATTTATAGGTATGCAGTTGGTACGCGCTTTCGGACTCTTGACGCTAACGACGAAGGAAGCGGTGGCGAAGTGATAACTTCGATGAAAGGAAACACAACCAGTTCAGAGCATCACGATGTGCAACCTTCTTGCCCTCTTTTGGCAGAGACTTCTTTCTGACAGTTCTTTCTGCGCCGTCTGCTATATAAAGGACGGAGTACAATGGTCAGGAGTCAATACCGCCAGTGAATCTACCTGATCTACAGCCTGTTGTCCTTTTCACTGAGAAACACGTTAAGAAATATGAAGGCGTTTGTGGTGTTTGCATTTGGTAAGTTCAGCTGGATGCCACACATATCTGCTTGTCGCTAATTGTTTACGAACCGTGCAAGATGTTACTTTGTGTTCATTTCAGAGACGTTTCTTCGAAACATTCTATTGCGTAAAAGGTGTTTTGTCGAAAAAACGGTAAAATATACCGACGACTTCGTATTGGTCCGTTCTGTCTTTTTTAACGGTCTTCGGTCATATAAGCTCATTTTTTGTTTACACGCTCCTTTTCCCTTTCTCACGAAAGTGCTAAATTGTATTTTGTTTTGGTCAAGATGCTAATATATTTTGACCGCACTATCATTACTCTTCTTCTTAAATCTTAATAAAATAGATTATTCAAAACACTCTGTAACACTATCTCTGTTCTTTAGCATCGGTGGCGCTTTCCGCCCCGCGAAAGTGCGACATACGAGCGGTCGATCAATGTCTTGGAAGAGCCCTACCTTTTGCCAACAACAGCATGTTCCAGGACTTCGAGCAGAAATGTATGAAGGGTCGTGAGGGAGTCAACTGTCTCGTGGACTACGCCAAGGCTGAATGTTTGAAGGGGGATGCCCTCAATGCTCTAAAACTCCTTCTGTCAGGCACTGCTAGCGAATGTGCCCTCACTTGTCAACCGGGAACTGATAATTATGACGCCTACTTCAAATATATGGGGTGCTCTAATAAGTACGGTGAACTAATTCACAAATGCATGCGAAAGGCCACCGCTTATATTGAGGCTGCGGCCATCTCCGGTGGATCTTTTCGAGGCTCTCTAACCTGCTGCGCGTTTGACTGCCTGTCAACTTGCTTGGGAGAAGCTGCTGAAAAGCAGTGTCCTGAACAGATCGGCGCCAAGGATTATTTCCAAGGTGTCGTCAAATCTGTTTCTGGTAAATTTATTGCGGCTCAGTGTGGCGCTTACCAGCTGGGAGCACCCGAATGCAAGAAGCTTCCCGAATTAACTATCGGTGAGCCGAAGTACACAACGATTTACGGTCCTCTGCTTGAGTTCCTTAGCTTACAGTAAACGAGATTTGAGAGGAAAGATGCGTGAGGGTGACACGTCAAAAGGCACGTATAATTTATTAGTAATAATATTAAAATAAATTACGCCCTGTAATACACATGTGTGGTCACTATTTGATAGGTTTTTGTGGGTATGTTATCCAATATCCACTCTGTACATTTTGCTTAGTTTTATATAGGGTGGTGAAGACTGGCTCGTGGATTACGCAGGAGAATAAGGAGAGATCTTTAGCTAAAAGTGGTTACAATTTACAAGCAGAATGGCTAAGCCTTGACGGTCGCGTTGGCAGCGTAAATAAGATTTTCAACTTACAACTTTTCCAATGTTTAGATTTATTCCTTAAGAGAGGCTCAACTTCTTGTCGAAATCTTTGAGTCATAAATATCAGTAGAGTGCGCTAATAACATAAGTGTAGTTATTTTATCAATTAAGTAGGCTATTTTATCGTCGAGCGCTTAGAAATCCTATTTGGCAGATTAATTTGGCATAATTTTCTAGTAAATTTCGTGTGGTAAGGCGCTTATTTGCAACATATCCTACAAGAGCTCCTAAAAAATTCCAACGGAAGATTGTTACAGACCCAAGGCAAATTCTTGGTTTACCCACCAAGAGCTGCTGGTCGTTCAGGAACATGCCACTATAGGACATTACGACAATATGACCAAACAGAACCACCCCTCTTGGGCAGTATCTTCGACACCCACTAGTTTCCTGAGAGATCGTTACCAACGCCGCTTACAACTCTAATTTACGTAAAATAAATACATTTCAGCCAAGCATTTTGACACTGTGTATTTCCATGACTTTGAGATAATCATATTGAGGTGCTGTGTTGACCATCCTCAAAAAACTCCAGTAAAGGTTCCAGGGGACTCTAATGGTTTCATTTTGAATTTACATGTACAGGACACGCACCAGACGCTTTGCTATTTGACAAACTACGACAGAATGATTGATCACGATGTCATAAAATCACTCAATTCAAGCGAGATTTTAAGTAATTTCTAACTCCCAAAGACACATTATTGCTGGCGTATCGGATATTGCACATAGTTGCAACACAACAATGCATAATTACCCGCTTCCGCGTTTCGCTTCCAAATTTCTTGGTAAACAATTAGAACGTGGCTCTCTTCTTACCCCGCGACGGGCTCATTCGTTGTCTACTATTCTAATCACAACGCGAACAAAACAATAACTAAAGTAAAAGAAATTGCTCCGTATCGAACGTGAAACGCCATTCCATGATGCTATTGCATGAATTTACCGCCGGCAATGACCAACGTTCTAGGTATGAAGACGCTCGCGGTCGTTACATTGGCGGTGTTGGAGTAAAGGGTAAGCGTCCTTCCTTTACATAGATATATATATAATACTAGAAGAGGTGATAGGATACACGCAAGGAACAAGGGGTTAGGTGGAACAGGCTAATTACAATGGGGTAAGCAACAAGTGTTGGTGTATGCTCAAGCTATAGTTTATTTCAGGCTACATGTAAACTCAATGGATTAAGTTATTTAAATCAATGGTAAACAAACGCAGAATGAATCGAGGACCCGCCAGTTATGTACACACAAAAAATGGCGGCTCTACTGTAAAGCAAGTTTTTCCTAACCGTGAGCTCATGTCATCTTTTACTGTAGATGTAGGGCCTAACCGTTTGCAAACCTACTTTCAACTCGTCTAATGTATATAAACTCTTTTCGGCAACTCAGCGGCAAAATTGTAATTTGCAGATATTTTAAAAGAAAGTTCTGTTTTCAGCAACGATATAGTCGATGCACTCGAAAACTTCGAACAGGATCGTGCAACGAATCATCAAAGACTCCTTTTTCTATTGGGCTGCCTTTTGGATTTTCAGTGTGACGCCGTGATTGGTCTGGAATAATTCGTTTTTGGCATTTTAAGGGAATGAGCGATGCGCTTCCAGTCGAAAACTGATTCATGGAAGGAGCACTTCACGCAGGGAAGAAGTAATAAAAACAGGATACGAACTTGAACACACAAGCTTAAGATACGCGCAGTTTAGCGTCATACACTGAAGTGTATTGTCAGTTAAGAGTGTCCATACCAGGCTAACAAGAGCCTCACAGGGACCTTTTCAGGTGAATCGAGCACAGAGAGCAAGATGGCTTAGCGAATTAGAATAATCTCAGCGGCAGAATAGCGATTATAATAGTACGCCTTCAGTTTGCTCGGTGCTTAGAGGAAATTTATTTAACCGCATTGTAAAGCCTGGTCACTTCACCGATTATAATGCGCCCTTCACCTTAACCATCAAAAACTAAAACAGACCCTTTTAAAGTATATAGTTACAAGAACTTACCGAACGTTCCAACCGTAAACGGGTTCAGTCGTTACTATTAATAACAGTTAATACAGTTCAGCAAAACAGAAACTGGCGACCTTTGCTGAGGTGTACGCTCGAATCTCGCTTTCCTTTTTCCCAGTCTCTTTACTCCGTTATATATTGTATGGCATAGTACGCAACAAACCGAATTGATACGGAGAAGTCTCCGGTATAAAGGTACGGTGGAAAAGTGCAACGCTGATGATCTGACTGAATATATTCGAGATTGTCACGCGAGGCCGCCGGTGTTTGGGCACAGGCTACAGCGGCCGGTTACCCAGTACTGTTGCATTATATTATACCTAGATACCGAAGACCCAGCCAGGCAGTAACGTACGGCTGATAATCGACAAGTAAGTAAAACTTTGTTTGAGCTGGGGCAACTTCAAGACTTCATCGCTGATCGCATTCTGTGAACTAGGCTAAAACATAGCCGTTCCCCAGGAGAAGCGAAAGCTTGAACAATGAAAATGTCTCGTAAAATCCATAGGCTTGATATTAACTAACTTTGTATAACTTGTACAAGCTGAAGAGGGTACATACGTATACAAAACATCACATGTATATACCCTGTTAACTTAATTGCCTTTCAACAAACGACAGCTGTTCGTTCTTAAATAATAGGGAAATTAATTATCTAAATAAGCAGACATGCGTATTCAAGTGTATCTGCTCGTGCTGTCTACTCTTCGTGACAAGCAGAACTATTAAAAATTGCTTATCACCATATAAGCAAGCAGGATACAGGAATTCTTGTTACGAATTCATATCTACAAAGTGTCTTAGTAGTCAAAATAACCTGATCAGCAGGTTTTTTTATCAGTCCTTTTAGACTGATAGCTTAGGCGTGTGTGTGTACGTTGTTATTACACACGATAGTGCTAAAATATCTGCAGGGCCAATATCTAGATACTGTAGAATGTAGTATATCGATATGTGAGCAACTTTGTCGTGACATGATTGATAATACTTCCGATACACGAGCTGGCATCTGGCCGTTATATGTTACGCTTACTTGCCTTCTACAGTTTCTGCCAGGCATGTGACTAAGCAGCCGAGTGAACGGCCGCTGTGGGAAAGACAAAGCTGGATTCCGATTTCGGCTGGAGTGGTTCATAGAATCACGGCCGTTTCGCATGCTTCTTGCATGCCTTTCGCGGCGTTTCGCATGCCTTATTTGTTCAGTTTTTGCATCGGACTGAGGTCCAGTGGGCCTTGTATTGGTCGATACCCGCTAGGGCTGCGAGGCGTGCTTTAGCTAGCGATACCTAGAATGAATTCCCTTAGTCCGTCCGAGCGTCAGCCGGAAAACCCCTTAGACAATCATTGTCAGCGTAGTTCAGCAGACACCTCGTCCCCTAACTATCGTTCAGGCAAGCGTGTTTAAGGCTTTCGCCTTAAATCTGGGTGTCGTTGGCGGAAGAGTCTTTATTTTGTACAATATATATATATATATATATATATATATATATATATATATATATATACACGCAATTTATTTACATATATATGATGTAAGAGAAGAGCCACCTAATAAAAACATCTATCCAAGCTTATTTAGTAGAGCAATCACGAAAGGCTTCATGTTCATGCCAACTACGTTTTGCACCGCACTCCGTACTGCGTCAGAACCGCAATATACGAAGGTTCGTTTTTCAGTGGTAGTTCTTTATATATAGCGCGGTATGGCACAGGTAGACTGACACCATAATGAAGAAAAAGGATGCAAAAAAAATTTAGCCAAATAATCTATTACGACTAATAACATCAATAGGCCATGTGCCTCTTTTTTTTAGTGTTTCTATACTCCGGCATTCTATCCATTGCAATCATAGATGTGAGCGTGTTACAGAAAATACAACTATTTCTATACCCGTTAGTCTTTCCGGCGTCGTCATCGAACAGCGAACGTTCATTGGGGCTGGGCTCGGTGTTCAGTATCGTGAAGATATAGCGCAGTGTGGAACTTTCGCCATGCGACTCAGTTCTTTAGCGACTCAGTTGCCCGGTCTGCGTAAATGAGCCTTTTTACGATGAGTACCTTCCTGGCAACGTAGGCCGCTTTGTAAAGCCCATTAGAAGGATCCTCACGATACAATTAGCAATAACGAATTGTAATAGAAGTCTGATCTCCTGACGACTGTCAAAACAGGCCCATTGAATACCTTGGAGGGCTCAGCCTCTTAATGTCTATGCATAGATAAATTGTCTTTATCGATAGCGTACTACGAGCGACTAGACATGTACCCACCCAACAGCACATATAAGGCATGACTTCACACTAATCTACTCACAAGAAAACAGCCAGCATTAAGGGGAACGTATTCATTACCCTAGCAATAAAAAATTAACGTTAGCGCTAAGTAAATGGCAGCGAATCAAATTGATAACTTATCAAAGGACAACACAACTGCACCTAAAACCCAAAAGTTGGGCAGCAAATAGCACGTGGCTTGTTTAACCAATGAACACTCGATATTAGTAGACCTACCGGTAGTATAGGTTTATTCGGCAAGCTTTGATATGCGAAGTCGTTTTTTTTGTTGTTATTCTTTATCTCTTCCATCATCGTATTTCCCGTGTTTTCCTGTATTTCTCTATCTGCGTTGTTATACACATGCTTTTGTATAATTTCATCTACCTAGAGGTTACAATGGTCACTGTTCTGAAACGATGATGGTGACGACTTTTTAAGAACGATTAGCTTTAAAGTGTTACATGAATGAAGAGATGTTAGTACATAGTGAGCGACGTAACCGTAGACTTTTTCCTAATCTAGTTACGTTTCACGTTTCTACGATGCTTCTATGCACATATTATCCTACACTATATGTACAGTTTATATTACAATTACAAATAGAAATCGGCGCATCAAATAAACTCTAGCGTTCACTATGCGTGTACGTGAAGCTTGCCCTCCGTGCTACCACTTCCCTTAATGTCTCTGTTATCCTTGTTTACCTGCACTCGTAGCTATGTTATGGTTGATTCACAGGCGGGAACTTTTGCTGCGCTACGCCGAAGAACACTTCGTGCGAATATTTACTCATGATGCTTTTGATCGTTGCGTTCTCAATACGATACAGAGCTTGCAAATAGTGGACTAAAGCATTCATCTCATTGCGTGTAGCGACTAATTCGTGGGGTTGGTAGCCAGTGTAGTACGTGAGCGTGTCGTTCCATTCTCGACCAAGTACTTCGAAAGCCAACAGTAAGGCGGCTGCTGCAAGATGTGTTTCACAGTGTGTAATCATCGAAATCTCCATTAAAGATGACTCAAGGACAAAACGAGCCAAGGTCATCTCACGCATATCCATTTTGACCGAGCGGCAGAACCTCCTCAGGAAGCTGTAGCTTAACGGCATCGACAGCTCAAAATTGAGTGTCACCAAGATGTTCGTCTCCATCTTCATAAATTGCTGGGCGTCGTACTTTTTGTTACAAAGGACAACGAAGTCATGGGGACTTAGCGCAACCCGCTCGTCCATTTTGCTTGCAATTAGTACCGCAGCGGCTCCGAGCAGCTGTATTTCGCTCCGCTGAATCCGTTTGGACGAACGAGCAAGGTAGCGATCGAAAATTTTCACCGACAGATATAAAGTCTCGTGGTTGAATCCCAATACCTCCTGTAATTGAATCAGCCAGTCGACGAACAGCGCGCGCAAGTTTGAAGTCATCTCAGGCTGCCGGCTGAGATACCGTTCTCCAACAAACAACTTTTCGCGCCTACGAAGATACGCAAATAGGTCATGGGCGTATTGGGCTGGATAATTCGGGTCGCTGAGCAATTCTTTGTCGATATCGGGTACGTTAGGTGGAAGGTCGCTTTTTTCTACGTAGTAATCGAGAGGGTTGATCCTACTCAAATCCTTCCTCACATCTAGATCCTGTTGGAAGAGCAAGAAAAAAGGAAAACACAAGGCGCAAACATCGAAGTCTGGTTTAGTGTACGTTCTTATTATTAAGAAGTTGTGGTGAAACGATATAAACCAAAATGTATGCAGTGTTATCACCAGTAGCAACAGTTGCCATGGGCTAAAAAACGATACTAGTGCATTCACCAGGGACGTCTAAAACTATATCAATAATTTTCAAGAAAGATATTCATTGAATGTACTTATGTTTTACGCTCATATATGCCAGAAGTAGAGCTATATAGACAACTAATAAATCTGTGCAGAAGGAAAGCCAATCTTTCAACAAGGCTGGAGAAAGAGTGTTTGCATTTTGAACAAGAGCTATGATTCTGGCTAGAAAAGATGATTATTTATAATTATTTTGCTAAGCAAGGATTACGGTGCGTCTTTAATAGGGTCCCAGGAAGTTTTGCTGAAGGTTGCAAAGCCTGTTTTTGAATGGCCCAAATGCTGGGGTATCCAGAGATTGCATTTTACTCGAAAACTGAGGGGAACTGTTACAGCGGGGACGTAGTTGGTTCGAATCCAGTAAAATGCATTTGTATACAACATGTGCATCAATAAAGCGAGATTATATTCCAATCAGGCTACACGTAAGGCTAATTAAATAATTGTTTTGTTAAAATACTAGCCAATTGTATGTTTCATGTATGCCTGAAACACGCGGCCTATTTCGTCCTAACCTATTTAGATCTAAGGATAGTCATGAGCCATGTATATATAATTTTTTTTTAATCTTCATAACACAATTTGTGTGCAGTCTGAGACATACGAAATTGTATAGAAAAATATAGTCATTTTTTTGTTCGACTATTTCCAAAAAAATTGAAATAATTAGATGATTCAAATAGCTCCACCTAACACAGGTTGGTAGAGAAACCAGAATTATGCAATCTTTATTAGTTACGTGTCCCTAATAATGCTAAAAGTTTAATAATATTCCTTCCGAAAAGCAGACGTTTTCGTGTGCAGAAGACGAGCTGCCTATATTTCCTTACTACAACCTACTAAGTTAACAATATCCGTTCCTTACGAGTTATTACTTTATTAAAGCTTGCACAGTGTGAAATCCCTCAGAAGGTTATGGCGATTTAATAAGAAAACTGGGTTAGCATAGATGATGAAGTGGTCCACCTCAAACCGTTCGCTATCGACGCGTTTTATACAGACAAAATGGCCTCGGAGTACGTGACCAGCTTTTGGCAACGGGGTGCGAGTTTACTTACGAACAGCTGGGCCTTGGCAAAGCCAATTATGAACAAAGTACAGGAAATGGTGGTGGCGAGCGCGGTTATATGAACTTCTTCCGGGCTTTTCTTACGAACTCCGTTCGAAGTTCGGGTGACCTTGGTAGACCATGAAATTCAGGTAGTATGGGAACACCCACCGCCGACGTAATTCAAAAATCTGATTGTATTAAGTTTCCGTCCCTAAACTGGCTTATTCGTATTAACTCATTCGTCGTTGAATAGATACATGCACTTTTTACGAAACAGCACCATTTGGACATAGATTCCAGCTGCTTGAAACTTCTGCTTATTTTAAGTTTATAAGCGCATGAAAGAAGAAGACAGCAGAGATTGACTCTTCAAACACAAAAAAAGCGATGGCCAATGAAGCCTGGAGCGCGGTGAAGAGAACTTACTAAGACATATGCATTTTGTTGTCCATGGATTGCACTACAATCTCTATGTTACACTGTATATTTTTTTGCCAGACGCCACGCGCATCGCCACAATGGGTGTCAAAACGTACCTCAGGTACTATGCGTCGCAGTGTCTCCGCTGACGCGGTCTCTCTGATCGGACAGTTTTAAAGTATTAACTTCATGTGTTCTTACATTACAATAGTATCTTTGAACACGTATAATAAATGTTTTTTTCTCGTTCAATAAACGTGCGCAAAAAACTTGAAAATTCAGATCAGCAAAATAGCTCAAAAATTGTGACCGTTAAAATTTATCTAGACGCCCAATGAGCATTTATGTTATATCTCTAAGATGGTTATTAATTTTCGTAGCGAAAACGTAGGTGTATCAAAAATGCTTTTTTTTTTTTGAGAAATTTTGACGAGTTTCCGAACTCTTAGAATTTAAGTTATATTGAGGATCTCCGGTTTGTCTCATAAAATTTTGATTTTTCAGAAGGCGCACAAAAACTATTAAAAACGCAGACTGTCAATTTCGGGCTAAAAATGAATCCTTTAATCACGGTGGATGATTTGTTCAGCAGGGGCAGATTGTACACTAGCTCATCTTTGCTTAGATTCTAGAAACGATGTACTGTTTTTGGTAACGACGAATACGGTGTTTCGTTCTAGAATAAACAGGCTTTTGCCTGGTACTACAAGTAGCGGATGAACGCATATGATAAACGAACTAAAAACAATAATGCCATGTTAGCTTAAATAGCCTCACTGGGTAAAATGTGGTCAGGAAATATCTAATAAGTATAATTGTATTAAATTTTCTAACCTTAATTTTCTAAAGCTTAATAATGCTGAAAGCTTAATCATGCTTCGTCTAAAAAAGCCAGGTTTTTATGTTCACAAAAGAGGAACAGCTCATCTCGTTTTGCTCTCTCGTAATATCCGTCTTTTATCATATCAAGTATTAATACATATAAATAATACCTAGTACTTAGCTAGGAACACTGCGAGTTTGTCTCATGAGTTTGTCTATTTGAAGCTATCGAAGGGTCCCGACAAACGATTCGTCGTAAAACTTACATGTAATTATTGTGAGAGCGTTATAGAGAAAAATAAATAGAAATGGCTAACAAATTTTCTGCTTGCCCAATAGGAGCACTGCAATGCAGCGGCCACATGTGTAATACTTCATCTTGAAATGGCAACACAGCAATTACTTGCACTGACGTTTAATAATCCTCAATGTATCGAATTTTACGTATGATATCGCCTGGTAGATATTCCGTCAGACACGCGGCTGGCTCCTACCAGCACGAAACGAGGTCTAGCCTGGGTTCGGACCCACACCACAACTTATCGTTTTTAGCAGGCAAACACGTTGCCCACTGGGCTATCACGGGGTAATCCACGGCTATGTTCATTATTTCTAGGTACGCTCTGGTGACATTACATCGTTGGGTGTACTTGGATTAGTAGTTCAGCAACAGTCAACCAACCGAATCACATAAAGAAAACACTGTGCGCTAACTTAATGTGCGATAAACACACATTTCCGTCGCCCACCTCACACCCAATTTAACCGTACGGACGTAAATCTGTATCATTTTGTCACACCAATTCACGAACAAATTAAGCAATCAATTAATGTGTTGTGATTAATCCGTGTATTAGTTTGTACTGTAGAAGTTGACAATTGTTTCCTTTTATCTCACCTTCTTCTCTTTAGATTTTTTCGCTATCGAGGCCTGGTTTGCATCCGCTGTGGCTTGGGTGTCGCCTGCTGAGACCAACTCCTCGGTCGACTTCGTCGCTTGAATGCGTGATGGCTCGATTTCATGGAACGTTTTCGCAGATTTCCTATTACATTCGATCGTGGTTACGTTAGTGTCGTTCCTCACCGTAAGGCGAGCACGCAGTGTTGACCGCGATTTGTTTGCTTGCACCTTCGTGAAGTCTAAACGAGAGATATCTTTTCCGGAGACGTCTTGAATGAGCTCATTTATCCGACGTCTTTTAGCGTTCGGTTGAGGATCAGCTTGAGCAAAATTTTCCGAGTAAACCTCGATTCTACTATTGCCAACTACTTGACCTTTGCGAGTGGACATTTTCTGCAGAGGCAAAACGAGTAATATAGATACACTTTCAGTTGTTATAATATCTCTCTCTATATATACGTGTATGTATATTACCTGTCCTGTAGTGCACATATAATGATGTGATTGACAATACACTTTCCGTATTAAGCATTGAACGTAATACTGGTAATTAAGTTAATTACGGTTTCAAGTGGCTCTGGTTTCAGTTGGCCCTCCTGTCTGCATATGCACATCCTTATTTAGGGATCGCCCCTATCGAAAAGAGTTACTGAGCTCATAGGTTACTCGTTCGAAGGCAGCATATCGTGGTCAATGAAAGATAACAGAACCAAAACAATTTGAATTACATATCTCTAACGGCACAGTGTACTGGAAAGTACTTCTCGGACCGTATACAAATCGAAATTATAATATTACCAGTAATCCAGGATCTGTCAAAACAAATTGAATTAGACCGTATTTCTGAACTTGAATGAGAACACGTTAGTACAGAACGTCTTCCCACCAAAAAATAGACCAATCCAGAAAACCATCCGGTGAGCGACGAAGTTTATTACGTGCGCCATGCTAAATCACTTCCTACCCCTGGTACTGTCCACGTGAGCCATTTTTGGCTAAGATTCATGCACGTTAGCTTACTAGTCAATTATAAACTTTAGGTAAATTATGCCGCTGCTTAGGCGGTAGCTCACCAGTACTTCGTTTTGCTAGCTGCTGCTAGCTAGTTTTACGTGTAGGCTAATAAAATGTGTCACAAACCAGCGTAAACTGATGGAGTATCCACATGTACCTATTCTATAATAGTTTTTACGTATAGTAAAAGCACATCATACCGGTCCACCGTAGACTTCGCTGAGCACTGAATTGAACAGGACCACTTGAAATAGGCTCGACCTGCGCAAGGCACAGATGGAGGGCAAACACGTTGGAACGCAGGAGACGCCGCTTCTGCCGCGAACAGAACGGAGTGATACGTGCAATTATATCTTTAGTGCATCAATTCAATAACACGTCTATACCCGCGGACGTCTCATCTTTTTGTTAATCTTTCAGTGCACTTTTGGTGTTGGAGTAGTTTGCCTTTGCGAATAGATCGTTTGTCACCGATGACGAGCTTCGCTTGATTAATATGGTAATTTAGACTCGAATGTTCAACCTCGAAATCGAACACAGTAACGATCGATTCTATAGAAGCTCACCGCTGAGTTTTTTTCCACTTAAAAACTGCTAGTTCACTAACGTTGTCCTTGGATGAAAATTGTCTGAAAGTTCTGCTTGAGCAATGATTGACGTTGAATGAAATTTGCTTATTTTTGATGTTTGGGTGTTGATAACGTTCACTAATGATACCTATGGGATTTGGAAAGTGGGCATTTCTTTGCAGATCTTGATTTATCATGAAATGTTCTCGATTCTGCTATTAATAGTTATGACTGTAGTACGAGCAGTGAGAAAATCTGCGCGGACTTTAGTTAGAGTCCTGGATTAGAGGAAACAATCTTACGTTCGTATTTTGCCGCTCCACATATCCTAGCGATTTTACTAGGTTAATGAAGCAAACACTAATGAGGACGATAGATGGAAAGTGGAGTTGGTATAGTGGTGTCACCGAGTAGGTTTAGGTGTTCTACAAACGACGCTACCAAATGAAATAAAGTACTAATTAGTTACAATTTTTTTGTTTATGTCAGAACTGCCCCATCATTTATGTTATTCTCCCTGAAAATTCCTATGTTGAACTATCAATTATACATGTAAATACAATAAAACTAGCTTAAAGTCGAAACTCATCCTTTTTTCACGCACATTTGTGATTTTTGCTAAACCGTTATATTAAACTATGTGCTCGATGAGATTACAAATTCTATGTTAAGATAGAATTCAATATAGAGAACCACGGCAAAGTTCCGACAGAACTGGTTTGATAAAATTCAGAAGACAACATTTTGGTCTACCTTTGTTATACTGTTTTTTAAATTAAAACCATTTGTGATATTTATACTAACGCAGATCTTAATGGATTAGTACCACAAGCTAGTGCAAGTGAACGTATTGGCCACCGAAATATCAGAGTTATCATAACCCTGGTCAGCACCGTCTACATCCGCAATGTGACCCTTTTGATTTTCACGCGTATGATGTCTTCTGTCAGGAGCCTCCTGGCCAACCTTTTCCTCCTTCTCGGATGTATACAGGCATCCGAGTGCCTTATACTTCCAAGCGCCTAGAAATACGGCCATTTCCTGTCCGGTTTTAACCTCGCCATTTCGGTTCTTAAAACGCTTGCACTAGGAACAAAACGCATCGTTAACGTCTGCCTGCCAAATATCCTCACAAATCTTTGATGAATTCCAACGCCCTCACCTTGAAGAAACGAAAAATTTATCACCAAGCGTTGATTTTTATAAACTAAACGATATCTTTAATCATTGTGTGATTCGATGCATCGTCGATAGTATTCAAGCAGCTTACAATTAAATATTTGAAATAAATGCCAACCTTTACTAATGATGTGTAACTTGAAAGTTATTCAATTGTTTTCACCCGCCAAGTAGCCTCGGAGAGGTTTACATTGTCAGGTAAGAGCCAACTCACATATAGGTAAATCTTCGGCTCTTAACTCGGCTAAAAAAGGCACATGATTAATATGTGAATCAACTTTTTACAGCACTTTAAAGATACATTCTCTTTCTGGAGACATATTTCGCCAGTTGCTTTTGAACGATTTATAGTTGAAATTGACAAAGTAGACAATTATAACCTTAAAAACTTGATAATTTTCTGGAGGGAAACAATCGCTATAAAAGCATTTGCTTGAGCTATTCGCCTAGCCTAAACAGCATCTTAAAGCGTGCAATTGCACCCTATCAAGGGAATACCAGCCAACGTCGTATCGACTGGTTCAATGGTGGTCAGGGTATCGACAGCTTTCGCATCAGTGTGAGTCAACACGTATGATAAATGGAGACTCTAAATGTACTACTAGATGATACTGAGCATATTTGTTGCACTTCAATCTCTTGTTGCTGCTTCCGCCATTTACCAATTTTGCCGTAACGGATCCCGAACGTAAACCATCATATCTCCGTATCTACCATCTAGGCAAGTTGAAAATGCAGCGGAAAAGCCGAAATTCGAGGTAATATCTCAATCGAATCATTCTGAAAAACGAATAGAGTATAATGAAATATCTGAGGTTTACGGCGGACATTCAAGCGAACCGACAGTTTTTTTTTAGCGTTTGTATACGTAGAAGATGTCTCGACACGATGAACTTGAGGTAATCGGCACAGTAACGATGTTCGCGATCTTTGCGACAGCTCTCTCCCCATTGTAACAACCCCACGATCAAAATTTACGTTGTAGGTCTGTTTCGTTTCCTGTTTAGTTCCTTAACGTTGAACCTTGCCATACTTCCCTGACCGACCCCTGACTATCCCCGCGGTACCTGCCGTCCAACTATCATAGTTGTAGCGTCGTGTAGCGTTACTTTGTCACAATGCTGCGGAATTGAATGTAAAACAATTAAATGTAGTCGAAACAATGTATTTTTAACCACCATCAGTGCTTTGCATGTTTCTGAAGTTCACCTGCCACTGTTCCTTATTTACATTGAATAACTGCACACCACCAAGTATTATTACACTTGTTCGAATGTCCGCGTATCCTCAGATCCCGCAGTGTGCAAATAGCACGAAAGCCTTTGCGCCGAACGCTTTGAGTTTAACGATGCCCCGTTTCGTCTTGCAGCCAGCTGCCCTCCTTATTGGCCTTGTTAACACTAACAGCAGTGCCAAAATTACAACAATTTCAAAATTTGCAATTCAACTATTGCATCCTAAATTAATGAAGTACGCTGTCGTCACCACCGCGTTTCTTCCACTTACCTACCAAAAACCCTGCTGGGACCTCTTTCTCTGATAGCTACGCTAATTGCCAAGTCGGGCCATAGAAAAATTGTTCGGAAACCGGAGTCGATTTGGTCATAACGTCGAGACGACTACTAATAATTGAACAACATTTGCACCAACGCTGCGGCAATATTGAGCCCGAGCCTGTATATGCGAATGGACTACGTTTCGTCGCCCTTATCAATCGCTATTAATACAGTTTTCGTGCAATTATCGCTACACATAACTACAGCGCTAATGTTTGATGTGCTATCCGAGGTTCAGCGGAGACCCTCAGCGGAACTACAGTCGCCCAAACTTTGGTGGCCATACTCGTCTTTGATAGGGTTCCTGGAGAAATATGATCAACATTCTATACCGTCCCTGCCTGTATGTATACCCCTATCGGACTTCCTGCGGCCGCTCCTATTAAAAATGTTGGGGCCATCGAAGACCATCAAACTACTTCGTACCATATGTCTGCTACTTCGGCTACGTTTATTTCAGCTACGCGTCTTTGTTCTGGAGCGCTTTTCGTTCGAAATGTTGGTAGCGCCATAATAACCGAATCAAAAAATAACGGCGAGACAATCGGATGAGTAGGATCTGCTGAAAACTACCTACAAGACGTAACAATAGATACGCGAACAAAACTTGTATAAATATATTGCACAGTTATTGGTAGAGCGGCCGAGGAGGCCGTGCTTTTAAGGGGTTCGTGAAATTCGAGTGCCCTTATCGGCGTTTCTTTGAGATAGCTAACGTGCTCGCATGATATTACTGGATTATACTTTTATCGTAGTATCCCATAAGGCATATTTCTTAATTATTGTCCTTCCGGAACTTATATTTCTATTCTCCTCACCTGAGAGCGTTAGGGCTCCTGGTCATAGGTCGTTACTAACGTTTTCGGCTACTTTTCGCTGAGTGAACAAGCCCATATTATCGTACTGAGATGGAGTAAAAAATAAAAAAAAAGTAAAAATATCACATAACAGCCATGAACAAAAACGTCGGGCATATATATAAGGGCGATAAGAATATATGAGCATATATTCTTATCGCCATGATACTGCATTGATTACGTGTTTGCGCACTTAACTGGGTGTAGCCATGTTTCACGGTGGAATCCCGCCAGCTGCTTAAAGACAGCAGCTGTACTGACAAGTAAAATTCGAAACCTTTACTTCAGCGTATCTTGTCATAAAATATGCTGCTTGATGATTCACATGCCAAACTAAACACACAAACAATTGGCGCCTTCGTAATTCGACCAGACCCTCGTTTAACCTTATAAGTCAACACGGTACGGCACAACACCAACAATATTACTACGAATCAATTCCAATTAGATAAAAAATAACTTCGACAAATTGAGGCTAGTGTGCCATGTTGTATACGTTTTAGTCAAGCGGTATAACACGATCTCTATTGGGATGAAAAACCATATATCGGACATTAAAGAGGTAGGCAATGATATCGATACCATGGTACGTCAGTTCGCGATTTGATGGGTTAGGCATGATTTTATCGAGAATGATTTTAGTGGTAAAAACTTGTTATCTAATAAAAACAACACGGGTATGCATTATTAGAAGCGTTTCAAAATAGGATAGGAAGGTAGAAAGCCTACCAATTTTGTTTTGCGACTTCTTGATCTCCGAATGTGGTGTTTATTACCTATTTGATTTGTTCACACACCTGTAATTGGCTTTTTGTAGTCTAGACAAATAACAAACCAGGATAAGAAACTGCACTCAGTGTACACAAGTGTATTTATAAACAGGCTTTGATATGGACAAAAATCCCAACTTTTGCCGAAGCAATGGTTTTGATGTTCCTGCAGAAAAAATTCGGGCAGTGGTACGGTCGACAGGCTGCTTATTAATCTACAGATGGAGAAGAAAATGTGGCGTACAAGAAATCTTCACTAACAGAGATATAGTTCCCATAATTTATTTACTAATCCGGTAGCATTTGCACGGACCCTCCGTAGGGTATATTTCCTAACACCGATACTAGGTAAACTCAGTTTTTAAAAGATTTTGCAATTACAGACAAGTAGGTGTCGCTTTGCACCGTAAACGAAAGTCCGTTGAGTTGTAGACACCAGAGATTAATCCCAAAAAGTTTGCATCAAGATACAACTTTAATTTCAAGGTTGTATGCTAAACCTTGTAATGTAACGTAAAAAAAAAGTAAACGCTCTTTCAGTATGTTTCTTTAATTATTTTGGACACGAGACTGGATGAACAGACCCAGTCAGTGGCGCAAGCTTTAAGAAAGCATTTGATAATGCGGTTCACGAATCAATCAACAATAAGTCGACTGAGCACACCGCAGACGCTGACAAAACTGTTGAAAGCGGTAAAACCCAGTGTAAACAATTTGCTTCATTGTGGAGGCCTGCTTCCAGAAACAAGGCAACTGCCTCAGGGGTTTCGGTCAAGACTTCTGTAATGTAAATCTTGAAGATAAAATATTAATGAAAAATTGAATAGCAAACGTTTCAAGGTTTGCCATCTAATTTAAACAATGATTCTCAACGAAGATTCCAGCTCAGTAGCTATTTGGAATAGCGAATTGCAACAAAAAGAAACTAAGACGGACGCAGCAACAAATAAGGCATTGGCTTACATTCATATGACTATGCGTTTTTTGTATACGCGTCCCTGACGCTTTCAGTAGCTGGCAACAAGCAACGAAGCTTACTATCTGTGAGGCCTAAACGAAATAAAATGGCTCTGTAGGAGTTTTACGCTCGCAGTAAGAAACACTTGTTATTAAAGAATTTATAGCTCGCTCAGAGACAGTGTTCTAGTATTTCCCGTCTACGTGCCAAATTTGTGTGTTGAGGATAGGTTTTGACATCAATGCCTAAAATTACGCATGTGACATAATGGCTGCACATGGTGGTACACCATATACTGACTGGTACAGTTTTTTTTCTTATATCTCTGGTCTCACTTCGTGATATTGATATCATACTTACATATGAATACTTCTGTTTGCTGTTATCAGATTATTAATGTTATCAGATCTCAGGGGTCAGCCATTAGAAATCATCAGCGTTATTTTACTGGCAACGCCTACTTCGATAACGATTTCAGCCAACGAGATAATTGATGAAATGTCAACTTTAGACGTGCTGATTACCAAGAATTGCGTTTTAACGGTCGACGTCGTAGTCTCGTTCAGACGTGAACCGAATTCTGACTAAAAACCAGTCCACGCTAGTCGACAGATTAAAATAGAAAGTTCTATGGATAATCCCGTTTTGGATGTCGATTTCGGCATCGTCAATCCTAGGGCAAGCGAACCGTTGGGCCTGAACATCCTGTACTGGCACATGAATCATCATGCACAATTTTGTCAATTCTGGATCATGTGCTGGCCATTGCCAATTAAAAGAAGCCCAAGCAAACTTGAGGTGATACCGAAATTTGACGAGCTGATAAAGATCGCGAGAGAGTGTGAACATCGATCACAATGGGCCACATCTATGCGATTGGAAACATGGCGAATAACTTTCTCGGTCGTACACAGCCACATCTTTGCTTGTCTTACTGACCTTTATTCGACATTAAGCGGCAAAAGCTCGGTTCGCGTTTGTTGTGTGGCTGCTACATCGCGTGATCATTATTGAGGATTTGTGCCACTCGATGTTCTTTTGGAAATACGCCTGGTTCCGGCGGCAGAATCGACTCATAACCACGGCAAAAATTATCAGCAGCTCAATAAAAGGAGCCACTGATCGCCATACACAAACAAAGGATTATGCTTCAGAAGCTGCCGTTGGCGGCCCTGTAGCATCAAGGACGAAGCCAAGTTCAAGACCGAAATCGTCAACAGGACCAGCAGCGGCAAATTCTCCTGCCGAAAACGGTTTCGGGATAGCTCAGCAATAAAGAGGTCAACCGAAGGTAGCAAGCAGGGAAATACCGTAACCACAGGAATGGGAGCGACCGTTCCGACCCACGGCACTCACGATTGAGGTACACTTTGTACGGCTGGCTGAAGACGTTATTATACTTCTAGTTAGTATATTAGTTTCGCTATTGCGTTAAAATGGTGTCATATTATAATACAGAACAATGTCAGGTTATAGGCTACGGCGTTGTAACGTTCCTTCTCGTCGTGTAATGGGACATTAGGAATATCACCTAAATGAGACACATTTGATGGATGATGTCTTTAGGCAATAGAGAAGCCAAGTATACAACATCCAGGTCGTAAAGTGTGCGTGTAAGAAAGACGCTTTGTATTTGAGGAAAGGGAACGCCTATTTCTTTCCGGCGTTTTAGGTACTGGATAAGACGGATTGCTTCGAAATAACTTTTAAAGATATATTCTAGGGAAATGCGTAAAAAGTGTATTCGCACTGAGAAGTTCACCTCTTTAAATATTTCAATTTCAAATAGTCTCATTTTTTGAATAGTAAACAATACTGATGCAAAGTAATTGCCTCTGTAATGATGCAAAATGCATTGATTTTATGTTGCTTTGTCACTTCGATCGTGTACTGTTCCTTTTCAGTAGAAAAATCTTTTACAAAAGAACACAGGCATAAAACATCAGTTATGGCTCTAAAAGTGTGACGGTTGTTTTTCCTTTCGAGAGACTTCTACTTTTATAGTTTCAGCCCGGGATAAAATCGTATGCTTTTATAAGGGTTGTAGAACACAGCAACAAGAGCATTAATACATACGATGTATATAACAGTTAAATATCAGAGAAATTCAAATTGGAAAAGAAAAGCGGAAAACCAAAATGCGATGGGACCCAGTTAGCAAGCTAATAAAATCATAGTTTATAACGGTTTAACTTTCCTTAGAGCTGTCTAGTCCTGATGTACTCAAAGCATAACGATTATATGTATCTTTATTGTAGTTCATTTTGCTATGCTTTTATTTATTGCTTTTATTCCAGTATTTAGTATAGACCTTTATCTATATTATTACTTACATACGAATGCCCTCTTGTGAGATAGATGATAGATGAGAAACCTACTGCCCTACATTGTCTTTACCCCGAGTATCTCTGCGTAATAGCTTAAGATCGTTCGTTCAGTAAATAAAGCAAAATACATAGAAATTCATTATTAATACGAGTTAAGACCACTATAGTAGTGATTGTTACTTTTTATTAATATATGATTATATAAGAAAAATTAACAATTCCGCGAAATCAAAACCAGCGTCAGCCTCAGCGTCGTGAATGGCAATGTTGACAGTAGTCCTGTTACGGCGGTTTCATTCACGAAGCACGAAATATCCCAGAATGACAGCAAGAAGTGCGATGCACCCACTCAAGGCGACCACTAAAATTGGAATAAAATTCGATTAGAGGAGCAGAAGTTTGTCAGAACGTTAGGCAAAATTAAGGACCGAAAATAGAAATATATGAATATTTACTCGAACTACGATAATGGATTGTTAACATACACTTCTGTATATGTTTGGAATTCCTATTTTTTTCTAGTGCCTTAACTAAATACACCCCTTCAGACGGCTGCCTTTCAGCACAGGACAAAATGTATCTACACTTGGATTTAAATCTAGGACACCTCACGTGTTCTTACGTGAAATAGGTAAACACAGTACCACTGCACGATGACAGAGGACGACACATACCCACCGGGTAGTACCATAGCATCAATGTACTTTATTTGAAACTCGTTCACCTACCACACCTCAACAGGCAATTAAGCCTTTGAAGTTTAATAAAAACCATATTTTTTAGGTAAGTAGTGCACAGAATATGGGTCCTGCTTTAAGAGTAAAAACGGGACCGGCAATAATAGCTACTGCTGTAAAGCAGTGGTTTTCTTACCAATAACGACATTAACGGGATCTTTGCGCAGCTGCTTCGCACCCTCCTGGATCATTTCCTCTACCATTTCTTCAACCTGGGCAGCCTCTTCCGCTTCGCGAATTTCTCCTGTAGGGCTGGCTTCGTTATCTTGCTCGAAGTCCTCTACGCCGATATCCAAACCTGGATGCCAATTATACCAAATCAAATTTGTAAGAGATTTTTACACCAGGAGTATATATGAGTACATTTGCTTACGTAGTTTTCATATGTGCGCATGAAAAGCCAGCGCCTTAAATTGGGATCAATGGGTAAATTGGGTAGGTCGTTTGTAGTAAAAAAAAACAAAAAAATTATGTTTTACATCAGCTTAAAATTTTCTGACGGGCATGTTTATTTAATGTGGCCTCTAATAGAGTTTTGGGGCCTAAATAACCATTAAGTTCGTTCAAAAATGGCCCTTCCCTAATCTGCAGATGACTTGAATCGAAGCTACTTGGTATCCGGCGCAATATATCGAATACTTGCGGGCACACAGATGTTTCCGGAGCAACAGAACCTTCTTGTAGCTTTGACGAAATATCACATGATCCGCCAGAGTGCTGTTCTTTTTCAAGGAGCTAAAGGCAAATATACTATGCAGTCGTCCCTTATATTTGGAACATGAAACCGCATTGATAAATGACTAGTCGGAAATATCGAAACAAAAGATTTGAATTCTAAGTGTGATATTGCCAATAAATATTTCTTCAAACAACTGGCCTCCAGCACAAACCGTCTTCGCAATGGTACATCGGTAAACTACCTTACGCCTTGGTAATTTGTTTACCTACCAGATGTAGGCTTACAGAGATGATCTAAGTCTCAAGCACCCGAACACCTACTTCAGCAAAAGTTTAACGACCATCTTATTTGGGTGAAAGTCCCTGCGGCATTCCTTAACGTCGACTTCTCAAATCAATATCGGGCGTTAGCAAGAGCTTCGCATCCGAAACGCACATTTTGTTTGAGGCTGTGCTAATGCACCAGATTTGATTATTGTTGACGTTGTTATGCCTGCCTTAAGCCAAATGTCTATTTATACCAGGGCGGAAACCCACTCTTGACCTATTATTGCAAATATTGGTTGACCCTGCTCACGGTTTAGTAAACTTAGTCAAATTGAAGCACCTTAGTCGGTTATAAACTTCGCAAGAGCAAGGACACTCGACGACAACGTTGTAGTGGTATTTGGCAAAACCCTCCTACTCATACAATCACCTAAAGTCTTCTAGAAATGCTTTACACTCAAATGGCAGCCGATGGAGCTTACAGAGAAACCGTTGAGGGGGTTCTAAAATGTGAACACGTAGACTTCCCCCTCATCTAGTCAAACGTGTGCGTGGTAGTCTACCTCCTGAGGTGGTGCTTTCCGCGTAGAATGTTTGGTCAATGGAACCAGTAGTCGGCGCCCGCTGCTGTCTCCAACGTCCTAATTCATTGCCTAGAAGGCTTCGAGTGCTTGAGAAATGGCGGTAGCACTTAGTGACAATACCGACTCGCCAAATTCGAAAGAAAGGAAGAGCAATTCCCATTACTCTTGCCAAGGACGGTACACTATGGACCTTAGCCTTACAGCTAAACTACTCAATTAAATCATTTTCTATATTAAGCAATCGAAATTCAGTTGCCACAAAGCAACTTCGCTTTAATGATTCGCTGTACTCATATTGCTATCAATCGTGTTTAATATTATGTTCGACCTTGTAGCTAATTTAAAAAGCCACCGTGATTTCATCAGATCCTAATTCTCTATTGCTGTTCTACGTTCTACTGCTGGTCACTCCTTAGTTTCCAGCAATTGCAAAAACGACGCGTTATGACTACCACAAATCCAATGTGATCGCGCAACATTTCGTTTCCAAATTGCAATAGCGTGGAGCGTCGTATCGACTGCAGCAGAAATGGGGTTGCACCTCGAATGTTAAAACGTAAGAAAATGGAGCAAGCAATCTTCAAAGCCAGCAGATATGTTGCACCTATTTTTTTATGTAAGTGCAATAAAAGCTGATGTTTAAAAACAAACGTATTACGCGTTGGGCTTGAACTAGCCATTGGCGGCCTTTCCAGCTAGTAACTACACATTCCAGCAATGTCATAAATGTCAATGATACAGATAGTTTAGGCTGAAATTTATTCTGAATTACAGTTTATACAGGTTCAACTTTTTCATTAATATGTACAATAACGTCAGGATACTGTTGAAACTATTGTTTTTTGTAGTTCTATTTTCTGGCCTCTGACTATTATTCCACGCAATCTGCTTACCTAGAATCTCATCAAATGCTTGCAGACAGTCAGCCGGATCGTCTCCATGGAACACATAATCACAAAATGGCACCGAACTTGGCGCCTTCTCTCGGCATAAAAAGACACGTTTAGGCAGCTCGTGCCGAAGTGACGGGTCCCGCTGTTCGCCCTCGATGAGTTCAAAGTCCTCACAATGCATTCTACACCTAGAAAAATAGGCAAAAGTAAACATATAGAAAAAAATCACAAAAAAAAGATGGGTTAGGATGACAGAGACATGTTTTTTTTCTTAAGCAGCTTATGTTTTCTTGTACTCAGCTAGTTAGTTACATGTGAACATGTACATTAACTAGTACTAACTAGTTAACTAGTATTAATTAGTACATGAACAAAACGAATGCAACCTTGTACTTATTGAATTCGTGGTAACGTAACCAGAATTGCTAGAAGGACAGAAAAAAGGGGTATCTGACAGGAATACCTCACTGAAGTCTATACTCGTCATGTTTTGAGCATAACTTTAGTGTATCCGTATTAAATTTGCAAGTTACTTGTCAAGAGACAAAAAAGGAATATTCCATTAACCAGAAGGCAATAGTTTACTAATGAATATTTATTTTATAATATAGAACAAAAGAATACACAACAAATGTGATTCAATAAATATAAAATATTGGTTTAGCAATTGTTGTTGACGTGCCTGGCCTGCAAACTTCGTCGAGCGTCCTGCCGAATCGCTGCCACGGCCTCTCCACATGTTGCACGCGGTGGAACAACTGCTCGGAGCCGCATCGAACCTTGTACCAGCACTTGTGCGCCAGCCCCACTAAGGGCAACGGGTTTCTCATCCAACAGATCCTGTGGCGGCGGCGCTGACTAAATACATATAAAAGTTTATAATACTTAGGGATAAGAAGAAAGTCGTTCTTTCGTTTAGTGTGTCAACTAAATAACTGATAAATAAATTCCCTTCAATATTATTAACTTAAATATCAAGACTGAACATAAAGAGCCACTACTTACTTGTTTGAGTACAAATTCGACAGCGGCAGTCCCATTGTTATTTCCAGTTGCTAGCGAAGCAAGGTGCGTTGTTAGCATGACGGAATCTTCACATCGCTGACCACCAATAAGGATCTCTGACGCCCCAAGAGTGCTTTCCAGACTGGCTGTGTAAATAGCCATCTGTTTCTGGAGACCCTGTACAATTACCTGTAATCAAGTTGCTGGTTATTTTCGCATGAATATTCACTGACATCGATTAATGACATAGTATAATCGAATAGACGACAGGTCTCAGTCTTTATGTCAGTTCAATTTCGTAGATACACTCAAGCGAGAAGAAGTCGGGTCAAATGATCTTTTCTAACAACTTGCATAGCCATAGCTGCAATAGGCGCTTACATGACACATGTTAAATAGACCAATTTATACTAACCTCGTCCGGGACATGCTCAAACGACTGTAGAACAATATCACATGCAAGTTCAGTGAATACTGTGCACTTCTTTACAAGTTTGATGTCTTGAGGGGACCCACTACCAGACGGATCTGCTATGTCGATAAGCCTGGACGTCATCTTGAACGAATCAGGATCAACGTGCAACATAACCCGCTGGACATAATGGTAAATTTGCGGCGAAGACGTCAATATCCTGTGTATACTGATCAATGCCTACGCGATAAATACAATACTAGGTAAGTAATAATAAACAGCAAGTGGTAGTTTACTGAGGTCTAGCAGCAAATAAATGATAGAAAACTATTATTATAATTATAGAAATTATAAAAATTAACTTCATGGACATCCCAAAACTCGATGACTGAACAGAATTATGGATCTTTAACTGAAAATACGTAGCCACACAATTTTTCTAATTAGTACATGTCATATTAGCGACGTCGAACAGATTCGATTTTGGCAGAATTGTTGGTCGCCTGTTTTACCTGCTTTACATCGGCTCTTTCCTTTTCGAATAGGGAAGCGGGTCCAATGGCGGCAACGCCAAGAACATCGACTCCGCCTGGCAGCATGCGTTCGACAAGGCGTGCATGTCGCGCCACCCATGTCGTTTTATCGACGTCGCCTTCGGGCGGTGGACAAGGCGCAATATGGACAAGGGTGGCCTGTTTCGATCCCGGCTAGTAAAAAAAATGCATACAAAAACGCAGGTATTTATGATGTTTCATTTTTGAAGGTACATTTATGAGTTCAAATACATCTACACTAGAAGAAAAACTGTTTTATATTTGGAAAGCTATGATAAACGTATGAAAATTACCGTATTGGCCCAAAGGTGAGCCACAACGTTAAAAGCGCATTAAAGAAACCTTCGAATTTCATGATGAAGGAAAATGTATCCCTAATAAGGTCGCAAGTATACGACACATCTTCATTTTTTATAACTGAAACTTGGATAAGATGCGCAGCTTGTATTCGAGTCGATACGCAAATGTAAGTTAGCAAAAACTGCCCACTTTCTGACTGCATCAATCAAAATAGCACCTCGAGTTTATTCGTGAAGTTCACCGATAAGCCGCTCCCTAAAGAGTACTTACTAGTTATTTAACGAATAGTAAAGGCGTTAGGCACGCAAAGGCGTAGTATGTGGAGAACGAAAATTGTACTGTTGTAGACTATCAAAGAGATGACAATGTAGAAATCCAGAGAACAAAAGTGAATTGCCAAGATCAAGGATGCTACTCACGAAAACAGCCGAGAGTCTAAAGGCCCTGTCGGCTAAAATTGACACTTTATATGTAAACCTGTTACAGAGTTATAACCGAAATACAGAAGATGCGACAACTGAATAAAAAATTAGCTTTCCGTCAATTGCCTCCTAGCTAATGGGAAACGCTTGCGGTATAATCCATGTGCAATTTGCGAAAATTTAATAAAAAAAGGTGCGCCTAGCGTATACGAAGAATATGGATGAGACATGGTCCATTCTCCAAATGGCATCACCTTGGTAGCACCGTCGAGTGGCTTTGTGCGTATTGCAATGGACATCAAGGGCATCTGCTACTATGAGATACTTGTCGAAAATGGAATAATAAATACAGTCCGCTATCTTGACCTCCCTATAAGATTCATCACAAGAAGACAAGACAATCGAAAGCACGCAGCGTAATTGACTGATGACAACGCCTTATCGTCATGCCTCAATTACGTTCCAGATTGAGCAACGAAATATTCAAAATTAACTTCAACCTGCTTATTCTGCCGATCTAGGTCGGTGTGATTAATGGGCATTCCATTTCCAAGAAATGGCAACTTGTGAGCAAACATATTTCATTCTGGATAAGCTTCAAGAAGCTATAGATAAAACAATTACATATGAAAATGCGAATGTAAGGTCTATTGTTGGACATAAGCCGTTAGACCGCTGAGACAAGTTTTGTAAAAAATAAAGGGAAGTGCCTCTAACACGTTAACAGTCATTGTAGCCCAACTAGTTCAAAAATTATCCAAATTCAAAGCCTGCCTGATTTGATTGTAAGAGTTTTATTTATACTCGAGTAACAATTTATTACTTGTGCTTCTATTCGTATATAGATTATTCACTACTTACTCCAGCTATTTTTATGGCACAGCGTGGACCTAAAGAGAAGTCTCATTGCAGCGTAACTAAGCTGACCATGTCCCAGTAGTAAACAAGCCACTTTTTGCAGAAGTTTTGTCTCAAAATGGATGCGGATAATTATTTTTGCTTAGAAGCCAGTAAATTGTACGTGCTCCACATTTCAAATCAATTCCTATGCTGTCTCAAAACGGAGCTTCGTCTTGAAAATGCGCAGCCTCATAGAGGTAGCCACAGAAACTTCATAGTTTCCTGTGAGCGTCGTCTCGCGCTACTGGCAGAACTAAAACCATCTTACGAACACTTACTCTTACTAACTTCTCTCTTACTAACTAAACACGCAATAAATGTGAATGCGTATACGCAGCAATAGGAGCCAGTCGTCATTACAGATATTGTAGACTGTAGAATAGACCTGTATGTGTGTTGTTCTGTCGTATGACATCAAAAGCATTATTACAAGTTTCATACTGTCGTTTTTCGTCTTTTTTTTTTTATATATGTGACAGCGAAGTAAACAAAATTGAGGGGGATGATAGCGTTATTTTCCACGTATTATCACGTTCCTAATCTAAGAAGTCGAGCGCATTATGGTTTCTGTTTGTTCCGGCAATATACATATGATTACGAATAAAGCACAACGACGACGAGCGTTTCGGAGATATTTATTATGGTAATCGCAGTTCTGTGCGTTATCATAATTTTAGATTTTCCTCCTTTTATCCATTAGACTAAGTATTGGCCTGTTGTTAACTTGATACCTATACTTTCCGTGTGCACCTACAGTTGTGTATCAACTTTTCAGCGATCAATAGCCGTTTATTTATGATTTTGCGATACGGGTAATACGACACTCCGTTACGGTTCGCGGCTTCAAGGTAGGTAACATCTACATGTAATTGTTACATGTTAATGCTATTAATTTCGTATATAGTGTTGTAAGCAGCATATCGGGACCTGCTTGAATGAAGTTGAAAGGACGAAACAGTAGTGAACACTTAAAACAAACATTTTTCATTAAGAACAGCGCTTATTTCTGTACAAACTATATATTCAGATGGGAAACCAGCAGTATAATCTCGTATTTCCCTGTGTAGTCTCGTTTGTGGACTTGCTTTGAAACCTAACACCCGCTGGTACTTTTTCATATATTCAATGTTTCGAAAAAAAGCAATACTGGAGAAGTTTAAGGCGAAGCATTTTACACAATTCCTAATCGTAATTTCCAACTTGAATAATTATTTCAGTATTATGTTCGGTGCTGTCTTACTTAGGCGTTGCTTTAGACGGCTGATCCCTTTCAGCACAAAGGGAAATGCGCCTACGTTCGGGTATGAACCTAGAGCACCTCATCACGTACCCGCTAAGTTTAGCGAGGAAGCACGTTGCCGTTGCAGCGTCGCGAGAACCAACACCAACTGCGTATGGATCAACATAGTAACTCTCCCTCGCAAATCTTAAGCCTAAATTTAAAAAATTAAGCTTTTAGTTTACTATCTCTTAAAGTGAGTAAATTGGGCCGATTTTTTTAGGTCGTTGAAGATTTGCGTAGAAGATGGAGCAAACTGGTCAGATACGCCTATTCCTGAAGAAAAAAACTCTGCTTTTTTGATAAAATGTTATGTTAATTTAGTTGGTCGTAAGCTAACGGCAGTGACTCTATTCGTATTTCTTAAAATGATATCGCAACAGCGTTGACAGCGCAGCCACTAGCACTCTCCGTGCTAGTATATAATTGAACGCTAATTTCTGTGAAAATTGTATTGCATGAACAAATAAAGTTAAACCTTGTTTAGTAGAAGAATAAGCGCACAGAGAAAATTCTTGCGTCTCTAACTGACTCAGTTAGGTTGTTTATGGAAGAACTGCGAAATGATAGATGCTGATTTTGTGTACAAGACAAAATGTTGACTTAGCAGTTGCGGCCCTAATAGAAATACATGATAATTTAATATATTGAATGTTGCCATTCGTCGAAAAGATTGATATGAAGACAAAAAAACGCATATTAGAGTTGGATACATGTTTGAATCTCATCGAAGATATAAGTGTCATTTGTCAGCTGCATACATTTTCTTTTGTATGCAAACAGACAGTAAAGCAAAGACATTTCCTTCGCGCAGGAACTACTTTGAAATGAAATGCTTTATTGAAAATTCACTGCTTACTGTTCAACTAAAACTATTAAATAGTTAGTCATTAACTAGCATCAATTATTTTAGAAAACATACAATTCCGATGACAAGACCCAAATGAAGTTCGTCGGTAGGCAGATCCTCCTCATTGCCTGCCGCCAATTTCAAAGCATCCTGGAGATGTTTTGTAAAATCTTCATCATGGATGAGCACCTTCATTTTGTCCGAGTTCTTTCGCATTAACCACCGACAAAAAAACGAATTCCGACTTCTAATCAAAGTCTTCCTTCAACGCTACAAACGATTATATTATAATCAAAAGTAAATAGCGTTATTCTTCTTTCCGTAATTCAGCTTTTAGCTATTACTTAACTTCAATGGCCGCAAGCTCTGAACTCTAACAGCTGTGGCGCTGAAATGAACCGTTCTACGCGAGCACCATTATACAAACGATTCAACAATTTCATCAGCTGATTGTTTTGTTCTACAGCTAGGCGTCCATGAGCGCTGCAGGCGAATAACGCTACCGACCCGACACACGTCTCAGAGAGGAGAAAAGGTATTAGCCGGCTTCTCCTGACACAGAAGCGCACGTAATTGGGTAACGTGTTATCTTAATAGAATGCCGTGTCTCGAAGAAGAAATTAGCCGATCGGACTTAAGGCACGCATGGCCATACAACTTCTCGTGTAAACACTTCACTCTGTCTGACAAAACGAAGAAACGATTTGACCATACGTACAAAATATTCGTAGAATTATAAAAGGTACATCCATATGAATTAACACGTATATACAAATGATTGCTGCTAATGTCGAACGTCTTCCGTCGAATAAGCAACGAAAAAAGATGGATCTAGTGTTGTCTATACAATGCGAATAAAAACGGGTGATTTACGCTTCGTCTGCATTAAATTCTTGTTTTTTTTTTGCTGGAAGCCAGCCATTTGATAAAATATCTAGCGGTGGTACCGTACGTGTAACTCGGAACAATTAGAAATGTTATTTCGAACTGAAACATTTCCCTCGACAAGCATATGGCAGCCCACAGTAGAGGCTTCCTTCTGACTAGTTTGCTGTAACGAGCATGTTTCCTAACTGCCGCGGTGGCGGCACCATCTACCGAAAGCGAATCAAAACAAAAACACGGTCTGCTACGGGTATTCGAAAGGTCGTTCGGAAGGGCTCTCTGTTCGGTCAGTAAAAAAGCCCTTTACTGAACCAGCCTGGCATATTGCAAGGGTGTGTTGAAGAGCCAGGTTATAACGCTATTTGTTTTGAATAGGAACTGGGTTGTATTGGAAAGTCAGTGGATTTTTTTGGTGAGTGGAATTGAGGACCGGCTTACAAGCTATTGTTAGATTGAATGAAGGGAACAGGGTTGCTGCCGATCCGGTGACTTTTCGCGCACGTGTCAAAGTAAACGCGTTTCTTTGGAGTGTAATTCCGTTTCTGGTTGGGAACCAGTCAGGTGTTCACTAAACAGTACTTGAACATTGAAGTGTGTCTAGCGTGAAATTTCCAAACGAAAGCTCAACAGATCAGATTTTTTCACCTCGGATGCCATATAAACTTATCCGCAAAAAAATAGTAATATAAATACTAAGGAAAAAATACAAATTTATTTTCTTTTTTTTTTAATTTTTACGTTCGGTCTGGATCATGTGAATGCAAGTAAGCTGAATAACAATTATATGTATTCATTAATACTGTGTTAAGGATGCTATATACTGTCTCCATTTGCGCTTATAAAGAGTAGGCTAACTAGTTGAAGTATCCTTATCGTCCGGATTACGCGCGTCTTATAATGCGATAACAGTTTGACATAGATTGGTAAGCTACAGTTAATACAAGGATAGTCTGCAGCTTCATAAATGCTTTCTGTTGAATGTTTGAGAACCAGAAAGCTACAGCTCACCAAATTCAATAAAGAGCTTCAAGGTCGTGAACACCGTGTGAAGGGTCATATCTATAAAGTGATATTTATTTGATAGCCGATTGTATTACTTCTTTCACTCAGATTTAGTTGGGGTGTCCCTTAAGTAAAGGTCAGTTTGTAAAAAAACTCTCAATAATTTTACCTTAAAACCTGAATAAGTTTTTTTAAGTTTCTATGAACTTAATATACTGCAAATTTCGACTAAGTGGTAAACGTGCATTGTACTTTCTAGTGTTAAACACAGAAGGTTCTCCTAATGCTAGAAAAACTGAGTACGATTATGATAATAGATGCTTATGTGAAAACATAACTGAATTATACAAAAATAAGCGTTCTAAATCGTTTTAGAAAGCGCACCACACGTTGGCGGTTAAAAACTCCTTATACTTCGTTTTCCTGTTTTTCGTTTAATCTTTGCTAAATAAAATTTTAAAAAATGCCAACTGGGTTCCGATATGAAGTTTTTGCTAAACTCATCAGCAGACAACTTATCAAAAGTGAACAAACTACCGTGTTTATTGACACTAGGAATACCAAAATATTTTTATAGTCTCTACATAGATGCTAATACTTAATTTGCTTTTCGATTTCCCAGTTCATAGATGCTTTACACTGAACTAACCGCCCGATGGTTTTCTTTGTAGCGGTTTTTAGATTCTTTTACGTGTATCGATAGATATCTTTCTAAGTTTCATTTATTTGATGTTGTTTAGTCCGGATGAGAAATTCTTGGGTGCTCAGTGAAGACTCCATTAGCTGCTTGAATTAAAGAAACCTCGTCCATTTGATAAAAAAAAAATGTACCTTTTCGAAGTTATTTATCATACACATTCATAACCTGTACTATAAGAGTAGTGCAGTATAGAAAAGTTGCTAGTAATTAAGGGATATAAATTGAAAAAATCCATTAATTTCCCTATAGCTTTGCTGCCTCTAAAAATAACATAGCAGATGATATTGTGGCGTGATGAACATGTAATAAAACTCTTGTTTTTTTAATCTTTAGATTAATCAAAGCCCAGCACGAGCCATATGGCCACTATGTCGTTTATCGTTAAACGGCACGGATCGCTCCGGTATCTAAAACGGGTTTTGCCGGCATTCAACAGTGGAGCCTCCGGACTTCGCACCCCCAGCGGACTAAACCGATTAAATCCTTGGCGAGCGCTAAGCTCCATGCCTCAACCTCAGCCGGAGTCAGAAAGTCAACTGTATGATAATGATTCTAATGAGCCATCAGTAGTCTATATCGCTCGGAAACGGACTCTCATAACGGAGCAGGAACATGCTAGACACAAAAAGAGAGAAGTAAGTCTTTTTCCGCATCTTTAACAGTTATGTAGACATGAACATTTGTGCACGTTTGATCTTTGATTTCGAACGGTTGTAGCCTGCATTTCTATCGATCGGATTTTCTTTTGAATGGCCGCGAGAGTTCGCAAGAATGCGTTTATTAGAAACTGCTACAACTGAATGCAAGCTTGACCCCAAGAGGAGGTAAATAAACGAAAAATGAATTTTATGTGGATGTGGCTACCATGCCATTGATTGTTCATGTAGACCTTAGGTACGTGTTTCTATAGCCGAAATGCGGGGTGGTTATATTAAAACAACATCATCGTCAGAAATGTGCTTTCTATTATTTCATGCAAAAGAGCTTGTGGAAATATCGGTCATATATATATATATATATATATATATATATATATATATATATATATATATATATATAATATTCGAATTATATTGTACCTTACTTTCATTATATGTGTCCGATATTAAAGCTTGTGATGTTCTTCATGACTGCATGACAACATATCTCTTAGGTATTAAGAATCAGTAAGACTGTGCATGATTCTATGCGCGCGAAAAATCGAATGTCCACAGTTTACTGTGATATTGTGGCCATGATAGAGTTTATACATTGAATACTACTGTGACACTATCTAAGTCAAGTGATAGTTTGCTGATATAGCTTGATTAATTGTTAGTTAAACATTTTATTAAGACCTGACAAATTTCGATTAGAGCAGAAACTTAGAGTAGTCGTGAGCGGAATAATATCGGCTTTGTGTGTCATTGTTTAATCTATAGAATGCCTTTTAACGAATTTGCAGAATGTTCTAGAATTATCTGCTAGAGATAATGGACAGGCGAACCCTAACGAGCAGTACTTTATCAGGACACATGAGTTCAAACCCGCCGCTCAACATTTATTGTCTCTGAGCAAAATCAAACTTACAGGTAAGGATTCTTCAAAAACTTTTAAATGTGACGCATAATTTTTCAGTCGAGCTATTTGGCACAGCTGAAATCTTTGATTACAGTAATCCGAGTTTTAATAACAACAATGTTAGCATATTTTAATGGTACTAAAATGCAATTAGTTTATCCGATTTGCTTGCCATTAACTAACTACTACGCACCAGGCAGACTTTGTGCGAACGGACAAAATCCGTGAATTCCCGCCCAAAATAAGCTGATGGTCGGAATTAGATGCTTTATAGTTTTTTATTGAACCTTAAGGGAGCGGCCGGGTACGTTTAACAGCTAGCTTGATGGAAACAATATAGCTTAAAAAAAGTGGCTACCAGGCATAGTATTTTAGTCTCAATAACCTCTCGCTCTGATGATTCAATGGTTTCATGTTTGTCTACTAAAAGTGAGGACATTTGATGAGGTATCTTGGTTTGGTACCGAGCTTAGGCACGCTTTGTTGCGTGTCGGAACGGTGCTAGCAGTTCAAAGCAATGCTCAATTAAGATGGTACTATAGACACAGGACAGTAACTTTAGTGGCATTGAAGTACGGATTTCCTGATAAGTATCTTAACAATAATTGTATTAATAACGTAAAAATAAGGTGCATATTCAAATGGAGAACACGTAAGATACGCGACATCACAGTTTCTATATTTAGTCCTATACCTCTAACCAATATCCTTGTTGCATATTTTGTATATATTCAGGTCTGGTGGTTATGACAACGATGGCTGGATATGCAATGGCGCCAGCGGCTTTTAGTGGTTCTACACTGTTCTATGCAGCGCTCGGAACCGCGTTAATGTCGGGATCAGCAAACGCGATTAATCAATTCCTTGAAATCCCGTATGACTCGCAAATGAATCGAACCAAAAATCGCGTCCTCGTCCGAGGTTATATGAGGTATGTATCGTACTGCCCTGTAATAATTTGAAGATAATCTATGTGCCTGGAAGGGCGCCAGCTAATAACTTTGTCTCTTCCATCGTGCTTATTCTGTGAGTTAAAAGAAATTAAGCGATGAACCCGAGAATGTACATGGTCACAATTTGTACTCTGCGTGTGTCTGCGTGTTACTATAATGGTACAGTGCTCTCTCTCGCGAGAGGAGCTCAATTCTGCGCACAGAAACCTAAGGCTATATATATAGTGTGCAACATAAGTGTTTTAGGTTAAGGTTCAACAACTAATGGAAAAATTGAAGCTCTAGCTCTTTGGTCCTCAGAGAAACGATTTCTTGCGAAACTCTTTCTCCCAAGACGTGTTAAAAAAGATGTTGGCAAAAGGATGAATCATATCTGGATCGAGTTTTTTTTTCTTCACATGTAAGAAGCACATTTAGGCCCTGAAAAGGTAACCTACGTGAATGTGATGCCTTAATCTATTTTACCTTTTAACTGGTTTATTGATTGAGCGTTTAGTTGCACTGAACCGCACCCCAAATCCAAAATCTACGTCTTATGCTTATGATGGGTCTGCTTTTTCGATTCGACGCCAAATCAATCCATAAACTATCCTAGATCAAAATGGATCCCATAATTTTAGTAATTATTCTAAAGATCTTAAATACACATAGTTCCTTTATCTAGTTACGCGATAATAAAGAAGCAGGTGTCACCTCCTATTCTGTTTATTGCTTGTAAAGACTACGCTATGATGTAACTAATTAAAACAGAGAAAGTGGATTACGATAGAGTAAGTTTGTGAAGTTTACTTCATAATACACTAAGCTAGATCGTTGATTAATCAAATCAGTGTCCAAAAACCTTAGTATGATGTTTAATGTTCGAGTAGTATGAATCTGGTTTGTTCAAAAACTTCAGATGTCCATTTTGCATTTACTCTTTCATCTTGTTTTTGACCTCGCTGTTTAAAAAACAAGTCTAAAACTTGCGCTGCGTTTGGAACGCTTCGTTAGACACATGATTACGAAAGACAATACCGATTCTCTAAGGGCAGCCTCTAAGAAATTAAGGAGCTTATGAAAAAAAAATGTTACCTGCACTACAGATCTTACTGTAGTCGATAGTATAAATAAATTTCTAGCAATGTTTTTTCAAGGTCTAGACGCTGGAAAATTGCAAGCCATTAACGGACCCACAATGCTCATCTTGCAACATTCTGCATGGTTTGAGGAATGTCAATACAAACTTCTTCACATTTTAATATTTTTCATAATAAAAAATAGCTTCTTGAACTCAAAGACGCAAATGCTTCCTGTTAGTCTACGGTCCCCTAAATATAGACGGATTAAATATCGCTTACCGTATTGCTACTAATTCGCATATCGATCGACTCAAACACGTAACTGAACTAGTAGGTAGTTGTAGACAAAAATTCGTACAGGTTCAAATAAGAAGGAATCAAATGTGCCTCAAAGATAGTACTTGAGCTATGAGTTCAGGGCCGATGGATACTAGAAGCTTATTAGCGTTTGTTTGACTACTGATTTTATTTGATCATAATTCATCTGAATTTGTTCTATGACAATTTTCTAATCGATACTTCGAATGCATTCCATATGTCATGTATATGAATTGCTAGTGGAACATAATTGGTAGCTATTAATGTCCGATATGCTTTTATTACCAGGATCAATTACTTCCATACAAACCAGTTTATGCCGTTAGTACCTCCATCTATTTTATACGTTTTTAGTAGGCACCGAGTATCAAAGCGATACCGCCTATTTGTGCGGATATCGTTTTTTCTGGGTTCTTTTTTGATTAGCAAGCGTCATTCATGTCGTATTAGAACTCACTTTGAATCATATTAACAAGCAATGACAACAATGAAGGATAGAGAGAAACGGACAAATGTGGAGAGCAAAATTCTTTTGGTCAAAATAGAACCCCTTTTGATTTAATGTATTTTCACTTGTTTTCTTCTCTTGGTCTCCTCGGTCCTAAATTGACTTTTCCTGTTCGTTAATAATGTTTGCTATGATAGAACAATAACGTCATATATAAGTTAGCGAAAGGTAGCACTCTGCAATGGTGATGCATTGATTGAAGTTTTATACATAAAAATTTATACAGGCCACTTCAACGCCGCTTCATTGACCACCGTTGAAACAACAAATTACCACTCAGGTATTTTTTTTCTGTACGTACCAACTCCGACTCTTGCTATTTCCAGCGGTTATGGCCACCGCCTCGTCTGCGCGTACCTGCCTGTTACTCTCGCTACGAAGGGCCAAAACCGCATTAATCATCTTTTTCGTCGTTTTCGTTTGTTTATTGCTCCGCTTGTCATGGCTGCGCCATCGTCGTTCTCGATTTGTTCTTGTCCTGCTGCCGTTGCCTTTGCTGCAACCAGCGAAATGAACTGCAAAGAGCCCATGTCCGTCTCGCGTTAGTAGTCAAAGTCGTTGCGTTAGTCCCTGGAGAGCCGTACAGATTGCAGTGGTGATACGTGCCGGGCCCGTAGTTCGAATCGTCGACCAGCACAATCTATCTGAATCTTCTGGTGACTGGCACCTTTGGCGGATCGATAGGTGGCAGGCCTGTAAATGCCGACCGGGTCTACATAGGACCTTGATGGGTTAATTAAAAGCGACAGCCAGTTAGGAGGTAGCGTGCGGGCAGTAATTTTTCCAACGAATGCAAAGTGAATGGATGAAAACTGCTGAGTTAGTGCTCTGCAGTGGTTAGCTCTGCGTAGAGTAAGTTTCTTTGCATTTCGCAGTAAAAGTTTTTTAATTACGTGGTAAGGAACGAGGTGAAAGCTAACCCTAGCAGCAACCATAATGAATCTAAATTGATTTTTTCGAGAAGCAATGCGGGTATGAAGTATGGTGGCAAACGAGTTAATGAACCCAGGCCATAAGCTACAAGCACAAGGTACGCCCTTATGTTCGATTCACGATTAACGGGGTCCAATACAGCGTATTCTGCAATCTTTTTCAAAGTTGATTGTCCATTCTCAGGTGATTAATATACATGAAATGAGCATTGCAGGTACAGCACTGTTGTCAGGCTCAAATTAAATGTCAAAAAAACGGTTTGATTAAAAAATTATTAGGAAGCGGACAGAAACGTTTTGTTACAGATGAAATATGTAATAAGGTATCAAGTATGGTGTACATACAGCGTGTCGTTATTCTCGCCTTCATCATCGAGATGATCAACTATATTTTGATAAAGCGTTATCATGTTTTCTCTAGGAGATTCATTCAGAATATCTAATTTAGTACCGCTTCTGCATTGGTGGTGGGACCCGAAAATTGCAACTTGTGTGAACGTGAAAGATCACTCTATTTGTATCCACACCTTTATAGCCTCAAGTAAACTCTAGATGAAGCTCTACATGACAGAGAACGCGCTCTACTTATTTGGACCGTTCTTTGCTACATTCGCACGTTTGATTTTCTGTAAACAGTTATCGACAAAAAACGTCTTTGCATTTAACTTTGCATATAACTGCTGTTTTTAATTTACCCCTTTTCGGTAAATCTCCCGGATGAAATCTTGGTTTGTGATGTTTTTACGTCAAAATCAGTGCCAGTCAGTTCATAATAACCCCCGGGATTCAAGCTGATTGTCAGCCTTTCGTCGAAGTTGATTCTCTATATGCTCTTCACGGGATAGGGACTTCGCCGCAACACTCATCGACGCACTTGAAAGGGCCTGTTAAACTTTGCGTGCTCATTTGTACATGTTCTTTGCTAGGCTTTTCTGCTTGCCGTTGCCCTCCATGTGATGCGCACATTCACCTGAACATACATAGTGGGTCGTCTCGTAGCTTAAGACAGCTCCTGTCTATTCTCCTTTCCATGACCTCATCGTCTTGTGCTGTTCCATCTTTTGCCATTTTTGACTTCTATGGCGGCTGCTCCTACTCCTGACAGACAGACTGACTTGGATTGGCAGACAGAAAGACGGGCCGAATGGGATTAGACAGGCGTCCGCAGAGTTCAATCCCCTTTGCTGGCACTCTGCCTAGAGAGGCGTGTTCGTGCGCCACCGCCAGAAAAGAGTTAGATAGACACAGAACGACGACAGGGCAACAGGCGAAAACGGAACCGAGACGCGGCGTACACCGAAGCGAAAGAGAAACACTTGCAACGCTGACAACTGTGATGAGCGGTGCTACAGAAGTCAAATGAAGTCGAGTCAAGTTCCTCACTGAAGTCGTCGACTGTGACGCTGTTAGTAGGCAGCAGCAGTCTTAGCAGCTCCGTCGTGTCGTGGCAGAGCGAGGCAAACTGGCTACAGGCAATTGCTGCGGCGAAGTGGCGACTAGGCGGTTGGTGATTGCCAAAGAACAACACGACAAAGCATCAGCGATATGGAGAAGGGTCAGCAATCATAGTTGTATCAGCGGCATTATCACAGCGCAAATGAAATTGTGATATGGTGATATAAAGTAAACTTCCATATAGAGAAATATAATGGAACAACAATTAATTAGAGCAATAAGAGGATGCTTTATACATAATCCGTGAATGTCTAATCAAGAGCAACGTAAGATGATCTCAGTTGTAGCTGTACAGTTTAAAAAAGGGACGCAGCTTGATTTTTTTGATGACGAATTGCTGACCTTTTTCGCTAGTTGTTGTCCCCCGTAACTAATGCCAGATACAGTTTTGTGACGCGCGCTTCTTTCAAAAAGCTTTTAAAATCTCTATAAAATTGGCAGTTTTTTTTGAGCCGGCAATAGATCACAACTTATTCGCTCATGCCATTGTTCATTAGCTACCAACATCCAAAATACTGTTGTTGCAAGCCAACTTGTTGTGTTACCCAAAATTTGACCGTATTTGAGAAAGCTCTGCTAGTTATTTTTTCGGATACATTGTATTCTATTATCCCCTCTCCATGTTCTTAAATCTTTTTTTATACGTCCCCAGTTGTCTTGATCATGATTTTGGCTGCTGACTAGTTTACATGACGTGAGCGTTG